GCCAAAAATTATAATTATAAGGAATAATAATTCAAAATTAGTTAAGAGCTGATCATTCTATTGCTAACATACCTTTTAATAGTGAAATATCTATCAAATTGTGATGCTAAAAAAGATGAGTTACTAGCAAAGAAATGATTTGAGATTACCTACCTTTCACTTAGATATATACTATCTTTGCTCCCATTGTGCAAAATACATATGCCAAGATTAATCAAAGGGCTGTTTCTTGTTACAGAGTCTCTGGCATCTAGAATAGTTGGTGATAGAATATTAAAGCTGGAAAGTTGCATTATCCTGTTCAACGCCTCATTTTCATATTAGGAAACTGAGATTCAGGAAGGTGGACATTCTTGCTCACATTCATATCTAACTGGTGGCAAAACACGGACTAAAATCCAGGAACTGTAATATTCCTTTTTCCTCTTTGGTCTGCAACCAAAGGCTGCCCAGAAACTCCCCAAAGAGACTTGTTCCAGTTGCTGCTTAACTCTTAATTTACATACTCAATAAAAAACTGACTTTAAAACAAAATTGTTAGAATTTACCTAAATCGAAACAAATACAGACTTCAAAATGTTACTTGAAAACCTCCCTGCCAGTAACAGGAAATCTAAACCAAGTTGTGCATGGCATTAATCACATACTCCTCCAAACTCCCAGAATATAGCATTATTCTCTGAAAGCCTTGACTAAGCCCATTTTACAAATCTAGACACTAAGGCTCGTACTGGTTAAGAAATTTGTCTATATGATAGAAGAATAAGAAACAGGATTTATAACTCAGATCTACTATTTTCTTCTAAATCTCCTCCCGCGCTTATGTCCACTTGTATGACACATACTTTTGTATACACCTTTTTCCTATATACAAGAATGCCTTCTCATTTTTGTACATTCCAGATCCTGTCAATTTCAACCTTTTTTCTCCTTCCACATGAAATACATTCCCAGCCCTAATTTCCCACCAGTACTGCCTTACCAGGCCTTCATTAAGATAGTGATCCCTACAGCTCTTCCTCTAAATCTATTCAAGTATTAAACAAGAGAAACAAAATAACTGTTGGACAGCTACTGGACCACCTACCTATATATTAATTTAGTGGCAGACTAAAACCACTTTGCTCTCCTAATAAAGACTTAAGTCCAGATAAAATCTGCACTAGAAAGAAGGTTTTTAACAACCTGATCAAGCAATGAGACATGCTAAATGAAGGAACAAGCTAGAAATTACAATTATTCAATTATTATTCAGTGATCTGTATGCTCAATGTTCTAAAAATTATAAAGACTATATGGGAATAAGGTCTAACTTCCCAGAATTATATACAGGATGAGAAAAAAACTGAAGAATATAAGCAAGTTAAAACAAACATAGAGGAATTCAAGGAAATGAAGACTGGTTAATAAAAACGGCTTAAGTATCACTCTACATGAAAGAAAATAGAAACAAGACCTGACCTAGAGTGTAAATAACAGTTGTATTTCCATCTAGTGAGGTATGTATGTTTCTGCATGTATGTATGTTATACCTGACTTTATCTCAATTCCCTTTCCTCAACCCCTGTATCTAAGGGGGATGAAATCCTAGTGTAGTCTTAAATGTCCCTGAATTCCCACCAGCACTGCCTTAATTCAGGCCCTCATCATATTTCACAGAGACTACTGTAGACACCTATCTGATCTTTATCTCCACTCTTGCAAATCTCAATCCATCCTCTATAGTGCCTTCACCTTCCTCCCAAACTATATAAATGTCAAATCTGATCTCCAGGTTCCCCACTAAACTAGTAAAATACTTCCTTAGCAGTCTCTTTCTCTTACATCTATGAAATACATATTGATATCTTAAGAGGTCAGAGACAAGCTTGAAAGAACTTGTTTTAACTTAATTTACCCTTAACTCACAAAACTGACACCAAAGTTTGAAGGAAAACCTATTATATTTCATTTCCAAAGTGTTTCAGAATTACTTTATCACAAACAGTGGACTTCTGCAGTGGTTCTCAAACTGTGATGTACACTAAAGTCTTCTTTTAAGCTTGCTAAAATAGAAATACTCAAGTTCCACCTCAGACCCACTAAATATGAAAATTATCCAGGAATTCAACCTAGATACATGCATTTGTATCTCCCCAATGATTCCATCACATACCTAAATTTGAGAACCCAAGCAGAAACCTTCTTTGTGCCTTAACAAACTACTAGTAGGTTCCCTAACTTTTTGAGCTGTTTCACATTGCTCATTAATCAGGGGGGTACTTATGAATCTTAAATATTTAGGTACCACTCATTCTAAAAAGCTTTTACTCATCTCTCCCACCACCCTCTCCTTTAATTCCCTAAACCTTCATAATAAACAGTAGCATTCATATTTTTACATATAGTCCACAAAACCACTCCATGAAATAGTATCCTATTTTAGAGATAAGAAAACCAATTCAAGGACAGGGAGGGAGCTTAATGGCTTAAGAAAATATGAGTTTGAACTCCAGTCTGCTGACTACAAACCCAAGAAATTTTCATTGTGACATGCAGCCTCTTACACATCACAGGTCACTCTGAAGTACTGACTTACTCATCAGTTCACACATTTGTTTCCCTTTTTAGACACAGTGAGCTCCCTGAGGGCAGGTATCAACCCTGATTGTGACCTCAACATTTAGTTACCCAGTACATATTTGTTGAGCGAAAGAAGGAATGCAGCTCCTTGAGAGCTGGGACTATAACTACTTGTTTCATTTCTTGAATTCTGAAGAGTTCTGAACATACTTCTTCTCTAACAAATTTGGTCTAAATGACCTGTGCATGTTACTGTTGGATATTTTTTATGAGACAATGTATTTATTTTAAACTACAAAAAACTGCATAATCAGTAAAGGGGAAAAAATATTGTTCCAAAAAATTAAAATATCATTCTTACTGTACTTTCTACTTGCTGAAGATGTCAAGTATTAAAGTTAATTTTAGCAACAATTTCATACCACAAGAACAGGTCATTTATAACAGTGTGGTTTTAAATGACAGAAATTCAAAAGGTAAAGTTGATTAATAATAAATGACAAAGATGTTGAGCACTGAATACTAAAAGCAGTAAGCAACACTATATCACAGTATTCTGCATCTGTCATTTTTTGAAATCAGTAAATATTACAGGCAAGCACAGAACAATTAGTCAGTATACATGTGAGTAAATGGAATATCCTTCCTAAGGTTAATCTGTCTGGTATGGAAAACAGTAAAACTACTTCCTTTCTGACACAGATTGCATAGCATATATAATTAATAAGCCAGCAGAATTTTAATTTTTATTCATTTGTAGATAATGTATCATTCAAAGTACTGGAGAATTTCCTAAAATGAAAATATGCAAAAATTACTGCTGTTTTAAGAATATTACACTTTAATTCTACCCGTTTTTGGAGGAAAATAAAGTGATTATTCCTTTAACACCACTTTTAGAAATCTAAGTAAGAAAGTGACAAGAAAAAAACCCTTCTAAAACAACATGATGTAGTGTAACGAAAAAAGGACTAGGCTTCAGGAATCCTGGTTTAGAATTCTGTTTACAAAACTAAGGGACTGACAGACTTTGGGGCTCACTGCTCAGTTTTCTCATTTGTTAAAAAAGTGAAGGGGAAGGACTTTTATTATCTTTAAAATTCTTTCTGATTTTAAGCCACCCCTTTTATTTCATTTTTCTAATCAGTAAACTCAAAGTATGTTCTTTGAGGTCTAACTTCTGAAATATGAAACACATCTGAACTGAATGTAATGATGACTGAATCAATCTCCAACTGGATGGCATAGGATACAAAGGGTAGACTCCCATAAAGTTAACAATTAATCCAGTAACTTTCCAGAAACTGTCTAATCCTAATCTCTTAAACAGGCAGGTGTGGCTGGTTTGACATATTTAACACTACTGAGAAAATCTGTAAAATGGTACTAATCTGTGGACTGTTTCTGTAGGTATTTCCTGGGTTCCAGTGGCACACACTCTGCAGGTGCTAACAAGCAGAGGTGAGAAAGGGACCCGGAGTTTCAGCGAACTCAGCCACACTTCAAGCCGGCCACCGCCAAGATGCAGCCTGACAAGGCCTACACCACAAAGCAGAAGCTCCCCACCCCCAGAAGTGCCAGCAGCCAATGTAATGAATGCTTCCGTCAACAACACACATTCTCCTTCCCACAGCAGAGCTGCTCGCTCCCAACTGGCCATCTGGGGTTGGAACAGGCCGCACAGCACCAACCTAAAAATCATTCTCAGGCCCCCAAAGCCCAAAAACTACTAGAGATTGTGCTTCCGATGCGCATGGTTGTGGGGAGAGCGGCACCCCCTTCCATCAATGCAAAGAAAAAGAAAAAAAAATCTGGGGAGGAGTAGAAACCAGGCCTCAGCGAGATTCCTTAAGAAATAAACCGTGTTTCTCTGCGATGGGGAACTGTAGCATTTCCTGCCTTCGTTCTGAAACGATGCACTGGACTTCTTTCCCTCCTGAGATCCTCAAAGGAGGTTACAAAAACACCTTATGGTCTGCTTCATTCATATTTGGGCTTCATTCAATGGCCTACCCCCACTGCTGAAACCTCTGGCATTGTGAAAGAAAGTACCCCCGGCTTAGATCAAAAGGTATGTGAAGTGAGGGCCAGTACAGGGGTCCGGTTTCTAAAATCAAGCATCTTCGCGCAAGAAAAATTCCCTCTGGCCTGAGAGCGAAGTTTCAACCAGCAGCAAGGGCGCGGATCCGGGTCCGGCCAAGCACTCCAGGGCAGGCCTGCCGAGGCGACACTCCCCGGTCCCAGGCAGCTCCGAGAGGCGGCGTCCGGCTATCCCGACCCGCACGGCCCGCGCCCAGGGAGCGGGGCCGGCAGGAGGCCTGGCCGGCAGCCGGACCCTCCCGCGCACTCCCTCCTCCTTCCCCACTCCCTCTTTCCGGCCCTCAAGCCCGGGCCCAGAGCTAACGTCGGGGGTGGCGACGCGGATCTCGGCCACTGACCACACATTTCTTGCCAAGGAAGCTGAAGAGGGCCTCGTTCTCCTGCGGGGTGAGCAGCAGGGACCCCACGTTGGTGACCCTCCGCGGCGGCGGCGGCTGCTGCTGGCCGGAACTCATGGTGTCGCCGGCGGCGCCGGGAGTCCGGGCCGTCTCCTGCGGCAAGCGGGAGATCGCTCGTTCCCCCTCGCGGTGACAGGGGCGGGGGGAGGGCAGTCAGAGGCGCAGCATCTCGCAGCTCCTCCGGCGCGGGGAGGAGGCGACGGCCACGGGAAGGAGAAGCCCACGGCGCGCCGCGCAGAGAAAAGAACGCTCCCCGCTGCCGCCCGGCCAGGCTCCCGCCGATGGTCGCTGTCCCCGCAGTCCGGCGACTGCGCTAAACTCCCAACTCCTCCTCCACCCCTCCCACGGCGGCGGCCGCACGATCCAACATGGCAGCGGGGGCGGGCGAGCCCACAGGGCGCAGGGCGCGGGGGAGCGCGCCGGAAACGCGCGGCTGCGGGCTTGGGCCCCGGGAGGAGCCCCGCCCCCCACGCCGCGGCCGCACTCGCCGCGCCGGCCCGAAGCCCCGCCCCCGTCTGGTCGCGGCGCGGGCGGCGGGGTCGCCTCGGGGCTGCGGCCTCTGGGCACGTCCCTCGGGTGGCCGGGCCCAGCGGAAGCTGCCTGGAAGTAGCGGAGGCCGGTCTCCGCGGCCGAAACGCCGCCCGCCTCGTCTGCGGACGCACACCTTTGCGGAGCGTCAGGGACACCAAAGACCGCTCCCCAGAAGAGCTCTCATTTCTGGGGCGCGGACGGTGGTCGTTCAGGCCACAGGCCAAAAAGGTCTGGAATCTGGAGACGGGAAACCGGGAAGAAGTGACGCGCTCCGCGTGCTCCTCGATGCGCTTGGGCAGAGCCGCAGGTGCCTGGGGTTTCTCAAACTTTGTCCAAACTTCAACAATGGGAATGGAGGAACAACAGGCCTCTCCCAGCTTTGTGGAAGAGGTACCTTGCCCATGGACATTCAAAAAAAAAACGCACTTAGAAAAGATTCCTCCTGGCTTGTCACTTGAAATAAACACATTTGTAACATTTAAATTTAAGCTTTTTTTCTGAACAACCCTGAACACATTTTACCCCCGTCCTGTGAACTGGGAAATACTCCCCTTTTTTCCTCCTTCTCATGTTTCTCGTAAACCCCAAAGGACGTATTTTCTTTTTATGCAAAATGAATGAGTCCATTTTGAGATGTCACACGGAAAAATATGTTACCTGGTTTAATCCTTGAAAGTAACTCTCAGGAATTTTTAATTTGTATGCTTCAGAATATTTAAAGTTACATAAGATAACCCCCCTTTGTTCAGTAAATTAAATACTAAAGAACTGTTGTAAAATGAAGTTTTGGAATATGGAAATGATAAATAATATCCCCTGCGGTGAATTATAGAATAAGCATCGGATTATTCCATTTTATGAATTAAAACATTTATTGCATAAACTTTACCATCATGTTTGCTAATTATTAAATTTAGAAAAACAAGTTATATTAAACTTGAGACATCCATCCTATGCCAAATTTTTCTGGTAAAACTTTTGATACTAACTTCTCTCATAGCTTCCAGTACAAGTCTCAGATGTACTAAACAGATTGATAATACACTTTGAAAATACTGTAAAAATTTAAAATTAAAACTGGCCTTAATGAAATTAGCTAAGTCAAAATAAGTCTACAAAGGAAAATTAGATCACATAAATCGTGAGAGTCCTCACGTAAAACATACTTCAAAATTAAACTTGATTAATAATGTTAGGGAGACAAGTGATTTAAAAAAGCAAGCAAACTTTTATAAAGTTTAGAAAGGCAATAGTAAAAATGTAAACCTGGAGTTGCTTATGAATTAGAAAGCTAATAAGCTCAGAAGCTAAATCATTTTGTCTCATATCGAAAGTGAGGTTCCAATTAAAATCACAATGACGGTGGAAAGCACCACAAATTTGTGAGAAGTGATAGAAATTAAAGCCCTAATAATGTCAAACCTGTGAACCAGGATAGTAAAAGTACAGGCTTCAGATAGGCCTAAATGGGAGTTCTCATTCTGATACTTAGAACCTCATGGACTTTGGACAAGTTGCTTCTCTGAATCTCAGTTTTCTCATTTGTAAGATGAAAATAATTTCTATTTAATAAAGATACAGTATAAGTAAAGATAATTAAACCTACTTCAAAGTTGGGAAATTTACCAAGATACCAATATAACAAGATATGTAAAGTACCTGCTCCATAGTACTTGCTCAAATATTATTTGTCTCTCATTGATGATCCTTTTCTATGGTCTGTTCTGCCTTCCCTAAGCCGAGGGATCAAGAATTGAGTTGAAATGTGTATTTTTACCTTTGTTTTATCTAAACCTGATACTTGGACAACTATCCTTCATAGCTAGAATTCTACCTAATTCTCTAAATAGATGTGGGGCATGACTTCTTTGTTACTAGAATTTCTTATAGCCCCGAATTCAACTACAAATTGTAGACTATTAAGCTGTTTTGAAGATAGAGAAAGATACGGAAGAAGGCTGTGAAGAGAATTATGGAAGTGTAAGGGAATGGACAGCACCCATGAGCTGAAGAATCTATCCCTCACAGAGAACTATTGGGTTCCCATCATTTCACAGCCTCTTCTTAGCCTAGACTATTTACTGTTTTAATTGCTTTTCTTCTTGCAAGAAGTTTTCAATACCTTATCTAAGTGTAATTTTCTATTCTTATTCTTTATTCTTAAATGAAGATGGAAAAATCATAACTACCATAGACTTTTTTTCTCAAGCCCAAGCCATTCTTCAACTTGTCAAATTTTTAAGTATAGTATTTTGTCCACAAAGTAAAAATTTAAGTTCTTATGTTCTGCCACTTCATTATGTTTGCTTTTTTCTGGGCTTTTTCCAACTCCTTGTTCTTAAAATGTGGAAAATGTAAGCATGAACATTACATTAGAAGTATGACTTCCTTAGTCTTACAAACATGTGAACAAGCAATATTTGGGGTTTCCCCTTTGCTTTTTCCATGTTCATCCTGAGGTCAAGCAGTGCCAGCTTTATTTGTCTCAAAAGTTTTAGTGAGTCCCTTCTTCCTTTTTTGATAACATATCCTCTATTTGGCTGAACACAAGACATCTTTCTCTCCGTTGGCAAGTTATTTCTTATCTCAAATTCTTTTTACCCAGTTTGAGAGATTGGATTTGATCCAGGTAATCAGAAGGATTTCTATATTCCTGCAGCGAAGTACCTCGAGGTTTGGAAGTTAGGTCAAGACAAGTGTTGGGATTTTATCTTCACATGCATATAAAAGACATTATGTTTTGTTGAAATGTCCATGTATAACTAAAATTAAGGCAATTCTTACGTTTAATTTCTTCCATTTGATTCTCCTTGACTCAATTAGAATCTATGCTAGACCTTTATTCTTTTTTTTGCTATGATTCTTCAAGGTAAAATCCTCATTTTAACAGAAAACATTAGGGTAGCTTATTCATGGAAATAAGGGCATATTTCAGATGCATTCCCTGCTGTTATTATTGTACCTTGAACATTTCTCCTGTCCTGGTCCTTTGTTAGTCCTCTTTTCATCTTTACAAATAACATTGGTTATATACTGTTAAGTCCTCTGAAACACCCTGTTCCCTAATGTTAATAATTTAAAATGTAGTGGCACCCTTCATTGTAGGGCAATGTAGAGGTAGCTGCACACAGGGATCTATGGCATTCAGCAGGCATTGTAACCTTAATCACTAGTACTGACAAGCTGTTTTACAATGGCAGAATGAAGTTACAAAGACAGAACAACAGCAAACTTGGTTACTGTCGGGTGATGAATGTCACTTTTTCCATGCAGCCTCCAAGTGCCATGGATTTAAAATGTTCACTTTGTAAGATATCTCTGCACATATTTATGTAAATGTTCTATATAGCAATATTTAAGAGAATTTGTCCTGGTTCCTGTTCTCCCACATTAAATGTTGAATGTTTTGTTTTTCATCAACTAAAATCTTAAAAAGTAAGATAGCAAATGGTTTCCCCTTCCTCCCTTTTAAAGTCATTTTGCCTCAAACTGGACAGCTACATGCAAGAGAATGAAACTGGATTATTGTCTGTCCCCATACACAAAAGTAAACTCAAAATGGATCAAAGACCTGAATGTAAGTCATGAAACCATAAAACTCTAAGAAGAAAACATAGCCAAAAATCTCCTGAATATAAACATGAGCAACTATTTTCTGAATGCATCTCCTCGAGCAAGGCAAACAGAAGCAAAAATTAACAAATGGGACTACATCAAACCAAAAAGCTTCTGTACAGCAAAGGACACCATCAACAGAACAAAAAGGCATCCTACAGTATGGGAGAATATATTTGTAAATGACATATCCAACAAGGGGTTAACATTCAAAATACATAAAGAACTCACATGCCTCAACACCCAAAAAGCAAATAACCCTATTTAAAAAATGGGCAGAGGATATGAACAGACTATTCTCCAAAGAAGAAATTCAGATGGCCAACAGACACATGAACAGATGCCCCACATCACTAATTATCAGGGAAATGCAAATAAAAACCACAATGAAATTATCAACCCAGACCAGTTAGGAAGGCCAGTATCGAAATGTTGGCAATGTGGAGGATGTGGAGAAAGGGGTACCCTCCTACACTGCTGGTGGGAATGTAAATTAGTTCAACCATTGTGGAAAGCAGTATGGAAGTTCCTCAAAAAACTAAAAATAGAAATACCATTTGACCCGGGAATTCCACTCCTAGGAATTTACCCAAAGAATGTAATTTATCAGATTCAAAAAGACATATGCACCCCTATGTTTTTTGCAGTACTGTTTACAATAGCCAAGATATGGAAGCAACCTAAGTGTCCATCAGTAGATCAATGGGTAAAGAAGATGTGCTACATATACACAATGGAATACTATTCAGTCATAAGAAGAAACAAATCCTACCATTTGCAACAACATGAATGGAGCTGGAGGATATTATGCTCAGTGAAATAAGCCAGGTGGAGAAAGACAAGTACAAAATGATTTCCGTCATTTGTTGGGTATAACAATGAAGCAAAACTGAAGGAGCAAAACAGCAACAGACTCACAGACTCCAAGAAGAGACTAGCGGTTGCCAAGGGGGAGGGGTGGGGAAGGGCAGGTGGGGAAGGAGGGAGAAGGGGATTGAGAGGTATTATGACTGGCACACATGGTGTGGGGGGGATCAGGGGGAAGGCAGTGTAGCACAGAGAAGGCAAATAGTGACTCTGTGGCATCTTACTATACTGTTTGGCAGTGACTGCAATCGTGTATGGGGGCAACATGATAACATGGGTGAACGTAGTAACCACATTGTTTTTTCATG